TGGATATTAGAAGGCAAGATAAGTCACTATTGAAGGTAGGAAACAAACCCACCTCATTTATTTTAAGTCTGTCTCAACTAAACCAGTGAGAAGACTTTCGTTGTTTATTAATCTGAATTAAATTTCAGAGCTGTAAAAATTGCACTGTAGTTTTGTCTCAAGCTTCTTTTAGCTCCTGTCTACTCAGAGACAGTGTCATTTCGGATCAACCACTAAAAGAGGGCCCCTGGGTAAGGTGGATTTTTTTCATGTAAACTTGATAAGGTACATGAAGTGTATAGCGCTTGTGAGATTTTAAATATGAACTTGACAGCTCCCTTACCCAGAGGGCTTTTAGAGTATTAGCAAATAACTAACAAGAAAAAGGAAATCCCCAGGAAGAAATAAGCAGAATTGACTAAAGAGTCCAACAGCCGCATAAGAGAGGGTCAAATCTATATGTGCTTATGCAGTTGTTACTCCATTCCTCAGCCGGCAAATTCCCATTGAAATGGATGGCATGACAGAAAAACAAGGTGGAATAGTTTTTTTCAAGTAGCCGGAATAAAAACCCTATGAACACTTCTGTTAACTTGTAATTAAAACTATTGCTTAAGCAGATAAACAGGTTTTTTTAAAAAATCTGTAACGGGATGCTGAAAAGGTGTCTGTCAGGCTAGGGTAATCCAGGATCTTTGCTTGTCCTTACCCCAAGAGGAAAGTTTTGCACAACTTTTCCCTGGCTCTCTTTCCTGCCCATCCAGCTCTGCTTTGGATCTGTTTCTGCCCATGTTTAATAAACAGAGCTTCAGATATCCTGCTGCATAACTAGAGCTCCTAAACACTAAGTTGACACAAATAGTAAATCAATAATAATAGCAGAGTTCCATCCTGTGCATAGTGCTTATTAAAATGGGCTGTAGCCTGAGTGGATGGACCTCGCATGGACAATTTGCAGGATTTGGAAGGGCTGGGATCCTCCCCCATGAGGGCACAAATGCAACTAACAGGCTGTGGATAAGGTTGCTTTCTATGGCTGGCATCTATGTGTAGGTTATAGCCATTGAATTTTGTGTAGTGGCCACATATCTCTGCATCTCCGATGCCTCTCTTGGCTGGCTTGAAGCACTGGTACAGTGACCTCATGTGTAAACTGTGATGTAAACTTTAAAGCCTTCCTGCATGATGTGACTGGGAGTTGGTGTCAGAATTTACCCCACAGGCTTAGACCCTACTTTATCCCTTAATATATGGAATGGTTTGGAACTTTTCACTGCATGAGAAATGAAGTTTCTTTGCAGGGATCCCATTCACCTCGCCTAAAAATGTATGACACATAGCGGCTAGCCGCATGAGCACATAAGACACCCCCATGAAACTAGGATCCTTCTCCCAAGGCGGTATGCTACACGCAGGGTGTCTATGGGTATCATTAGCAAACATGATTCTTTACTAAACAAAACAGGAATCTGCCCCGCAGCGCAGCCAGTTCTGCAGACATACTTACGAAATTAGTTATGGTGGTAGTTGAGGCAGTATCTTTCGTTGAACCCACTTATCATGGTGATAGAAACAAGCTTTGGAGCTTCTTCAGGTCTAGGGTACTAAATGTGTCACAGGCCCACAGCTAAATACAACATTGAACAGACAGTTTAGAGTCATTAGCAAAAAAATTCAGATGTGTCAAAATGTTGACATTTTTTAAAAGAAATTAAAAAAATGCAGTGTTTCCTCACAACTTTTCATTCAAATTTTCTTAAATGTTATAGCATACTATATAATATAGTACAGGCAGTCCCCGGGTTACGTACAAGATAGGGACTATAGGTTTGTTCTTAAGTTGAATTTGTACGTAACTCGGAACTGGCTCCAGATTCAGCCGCTGCTGCTGAAACTGACCAGGGGCTGACTACAGGAAGCCCGAGGCAGAGTTGCTCTGCCCCCAGCTTCCTGGAATCAGCCACTGATCAGTTTCAACAGCGGCTGAATCTGGAGCCTGGGACAGAAAACCTGGGGCGCTGCCAGGTAGGTCCCCCCAGGACCAACCCGGCAGCACCCCAGCTGCTCTACCCCAGGCGTCCACAACAAAAGCCTGGTCTGCTGGGGGGGGGGGGGGGGGGAC